TGATGTCACGTGATGGTTTCTTTTCTCAAACTATGGCCAATCAATCCGCCTCCATTTCTTCCTGCATATTTGTTACGCAATTGGTTCCTTCTCTGTTGGTTCACTCCCAGAGATCCCTCACCATTGTTGATCTTTTCTGGCCGGCCATCTGATCTTGAGTATTGAGCGAAGACAACTATTTGTGAAGGTCTGTAGTTTGTTTGAGATGCTCTTTATGACGCACTGGCCAAGTCTCTGATCAATCCGTATAGTGAGTAGCACTGACTGAACTCACATTGGAGTTGAAAATCCGGATGTTATTTTTGATGCTGAATAGGGCTGTTGACCTCCACACAGACTTAAGAGTAATGAAGGCTTCTCTTGCTTTTCTGACCCTCGCTGCTTTGTTATCCTCGTCAATTCCGCCACCTGTAGTTAAAACGATGCTTCACAGGTAGGTGAAGGAGGTTGTTTCTTTCAGGTTCCTCCCATTTATGCTGACTGTCATCTGTTGTTGTTTTTTCTGTTGGTGTTGGCTAGGAATCTTCATCACCTCTGTTTTATCTATGTTCTTCTGAAGTCCTATCTTTGATGCTTCTTCTCCCAACTTGTTGCTGCTTTTCACTTGCATTTCTTCCAGTTTGTTGGAAATCAAACATACATCTTAGGCGAAATCCAGATCCTCCAAGTTTTTTGTGTGAGTCCATTTTATGCCTGTTTCCTGATTGCCCGCTGTTTGTCGCATTATCCAATCTACTGCAATCAGGAAAATAATTGGCGATAGTAGGCAGCCAGCTTGTCTTACCCCCGTCCTCACTTCGAAGGATTCCGTAAGTTTCCTGTTGTGGATTACTTAGCATGCAGCATTGTCGCACAACTGTTGGATGAGATGTATTATTTTCGATGGCACCCCTTGGTAGTAGCGAAGTAGTTTCTAAATCACCTCTCGATCGACACTGTCTGGTGAAGGCCATTTCAAAGTCGATGAAGTCGAATGAGTTAGAGAGGTGACTGACATTGCAAACTTTGTTCAATGATGATCCGTTGAGTGGCGATTTGATCAATACATGACTTGTTTCTCCTCAATCCATCTTGTTCCGTTCGGAGATTTCCATCCAGGTTGGCTTGTTTGATTCTCTCCAGGATGATGCAGCTTAGTATTTTGCTTGGGATGGATGGACAGGAGCATAATTCCGCGCCAGTTTTTTGCATTGACTTAAGTCTCCTTTCTTTGGTAGTTCGAATAAGTATCCTTTCTTCGAATCCTCGGGTAATTTGTCGTCTTTTTTGTAAATCTTCGTATACTCAGCATTTATATTCAAAAATAATCACATACATCTGGTAGTCATCCCTTTCAATCCTTCGTAGATCCAAAATATATAATATATATATATATATATATATATATATATATATATATATATATATATAATATTAATGTGACTTCCTTTATTAATTAACGTATGTAAATATTTTGTATTTTGATTTATTTTATTTATTTTCTTGAAAATTATTTCAGATTCTTTGTCCATGTGACATGGACTGATAAAATCAAATTTTGTTCGTTGTTTTTTCCTACTCTTTTTTGTGTTCATGTTCATCAAATAGAATAATTGGTATTTAAATTATATATGAATTGATTTGTTATCTCATGATTTAAAAAATTTTTTTTTAATTGAGTGAATTTTGTTTTACTATTATTATTATTATTACTATTTATGCAATAAATTTTTGTTTTAAATGATTGAGTATTGTGAACTGATCTATATCTATTAGTCTCGATTAATTGTTTCGTATGAGGCCGAAGTTAAAGTACCAAAGTGCCGAAACCAGGGTCTTTGAAAAGATGACTGACCTTCAAGATGCAGAGAATGATATGATATCTCATTCCAAATGAAATCATGCCTGCCTTTTCGGGCTTGGAGAGGATGTATACAGTATTCTACGTATTCACTAGGTACTTTTCTGAAAGTCTATACTGTTTTAGGTAGCTACCTAACCGCAGGGTTGTGGCGTATAAGATTAAGGTTTTGGACCTAGGGTCAACATCAGGTTTAGAGTTAAAGTTAGGATTATGGTTAGAGTTGTAAGTAGGCTGAAGAACAGTGTTATAAATATCAATGGTTCTCAAAGTACCATGACCTACAGTCCCTTGTATGCATGGGTATATGGGCGCATATACGATTTCTTTATAAATCATCGGTGTTATTAGATGGTTGGAGGCAATCGGCAGGGAGTCTTGGACCTAGGTTTCGTGCTAGTTGGCAATCACCAGTCAGCAAGGTGTATCTGCAACCTTGAAGGAATTTATATCCCCTCTCAGATTCGAACCTGCGTCACCCAGTATTGCAGTCAGAGACGTTACCACTGAGTTATTCGGGCTCGCGATTGACCTTCAAGGTTGCAGATACGCCTTGCTGACTGGTGAGTGCCAACTAGCACGAAACCTAGGTCCAAGGCTCCCTACCGATCGCTTGCAACCATCTAATATCATCAAATCAATGTGCACCGCGATGTCCAGCTACCTAGAATGGTGGCCACATTGCAAACCTGACTGATAGAATTCAGTCTGCACGAAAGATAGGAGGACTAGAAACGTCACACTAGTTACTAGTGTCCAATCAAAAAAGATCATCGGTGTATTGATTGGATGACACATTCTTACAACACATAAGCCACAACTACACAGTATAATATCATGTCAGCAATATTTTTTAGTGTATTTTTCAACGATTATGTGACTTCTTTTGCGTCTGGATACTAATTGGGTGTGCAAGGTCACTGTGGTTTTGGCTATGATAGTTTAACTCTGCTGTTTCTATGTTTGTATACCAAGCAAAATGTAATAATCTCGGTGTAGTTTTCATCACGAACCGATATCATGTACGTGCTGTGCACCTTGATTCATGATATAATCCCTGCAAATCGACACTTGAGCATAGAGATTTTATCCGAAATGCCTAAAGAAAAAATTCGAAAATCTAAAGCTGGTGTCACTAGAGACAATATTCTGCTCGGCTGATTTTAAAGAAAGAATTGAAATGTTATATTGGACATATCTGGGCAGCAGTATGCCAACCAAAAACGTTCAAGGATGTGAAAGCCAGTTAGAATTGAGGAAGCGACATAGGCATTCATTTCCCTGAAAGCACTCAATACAAAAAAAAAGAACCTAATTTTGTAACACTAATGCCCAAGTTAACGCTTTCATATGGTTGACAGGATTGACCTCCTCGACACCAGAAACACTTCCAACAGATTGCTGTAGACTTCCATCAGCATGTGCTTTTACTCGTAACTGAAGATGAGATGGCTGGCCAGAAATGAAAAGTAAAAGGGAACTGTACTAGACAGCAAATCAACCGAGTTACGTATTACCCAAGAAATCTATATATAGAAGGAGGACTGTGAATATACTCTGACAAAACCGTTGAGTGTAATGATCACATGCTAGATAGGCCCTGAAGTGTAATCTGAATGAGAATCGACGAGCTTTGGGTGTTTGAGTGTGGCATTAGAGCCAGTTGAAAGTAGTGGCAAATAACTGAGTACATTATGGATGTGCTTGTGAAAACGTATACTCCATTCGGAATGCAAGAAACAATTGGTAATCATGATAATAATGCAATTGTTCTCAATATTTTGACCTAACTGGTTTGTTTTCAAACTCATTGTATAGTTAGTTGTTCAGGATTGTAGAGAATAAAGAATGAAGAGAGAGAGAACCAACATATTTGCAGGATAATACGAGCTGGTTTTATTCCGCGGTTTTCTCTTCAGCTGCGTACAGGTCTTTTCAATTTCTTCAAGTTACAGAAAAGAACAGTTCGCATCATAAACTGACATAGATTAGTGAACTAGTGAAAAGCAGATATCTGTTTTATCGTTGTAGCTTGGGAATTTTCAGTGGTTTACACCAACAACTGAACACTTCGAGATTAATTTACTGTTCATCAGTAACGAACTAAAAAAATGGACTTCATAAAGTTCCAGTCAGAAGTTTTAACCGATGGGGGGGGGGTTCTTTTAAGTCGAGTGAGAGTACAGGTGCTTGTCAATGGTATTGGCTCTTAGTAGAGCTATATTACAAGTTGACAGAGGTTCGAAAATATATATGGGTCAGTGAATTCCCATCCATTGGTGGGTGAGTTATCTGGTTTTCCTTATGACCTGAAAGTTCTGTGTACACTATACCTCATGAAGTCGTGGTATGTGTATTGCTTTAAAATCTAACACGAGGGGAAATTATCTGCCCTGTATCTCGTAGTTTTTAATGTTTCTCTGATTGATTTCGGTTGGTGACGAAATCGAGTCTAATACATTATAGCGTTTCGACAGTTTGATGTTTAAACTCCCTTGTTTAAACCAAGAACTTGCATATAACACGGTCCACTTGATCTCATTCAGTTCACTGTCATTTTATACACGTTATTTATTTCATTATTGAAACACTAATTCAGTGTATTATGGGTGCAAAGAGATGAGCCACGTAAAATCTTATAGTTTATGCGATGGCTGGGGCACTGTCCGGGCCCCCAAACCAAAGATGGCGGTGATCTTAAGGGGTCATACCCTGAGCCTTTGACTTAACGCTTGATCCAAAAAGCAGCAGTCCCATGGTTATCAGTGACTGAAATAGGTTTATATACACCATTTGATCCTTTCGGATTCTCGAGTCTATGTACATTGTATGTTTGGAATCAGGGTTTTCCACACACCCCAACTCGTAGGTAGACCTGGATATCCATTAGTGCAGTGGTAATCCCCAGATGTTCGAATTCGTCCCTTCATTGTTGTGAGGAACACACAGTTGTCGTATTTAGGTAGTGAATATGAGTTGGCAGTGGCTGTGAACGAGTGGCCACATGAAAGCATTTCTCCAGGAATACCAAAGTCTGCTGTTAAAATAACATACTGTTTATTTTTACTTGAATAAGAGAATTATGCATACCGTTTTCAAATATATCAGAACTTTAATAAGTAATTGGTAATTGTGGTTTTCTTCTTATCTCGAAATGCAGGTGTGGGATTTAACAACAGCTTTAGATTTCGCGAGAACTGGAAACAATTTCCCTGGACCATTAATGACTATTCCAAACTCATCAACAATCAATATGGAAGGAGCTTACAACTTAGCAAATGGTATGTAGTCAAATATTCCTAATTTCTTCTATTTATATCCTGTCTGATCTGCTTTTTGGGTGTTTCTGTCTCCCTCTGTTTACCGACCACTTTTGGGGTGGATTCGTACTTGATTTTTGCCTTTATAATTGAAAGTGGAGAAGATTTGTGTTTTTAGTGTTTAAATATACTAAGAATAATACTTCTGTGGCTTAGGTCGTTGGCAGTGACTACAGAACTAAGTGGGAATGATGAAAAAGATGATATTTATTCCTTCCTGATTTTGCATAACTGCAGAACTGAGGTTACAAATTCCTAAGACTAGAGTAGACACTTACAGATATCAAGATGTACAGTTACTGTGCTCAGCACTTTCTAAGCTTGAAGACGGCAACCTATTTGGTTGCTGCACCTCTATTCTCTGACAGTATAACTGTACGCCTATACACCAGCATAGTATAAGCAATATACGGTGTGATGGTGACTGCTTTTAGTCTAACTGACCTTCCTGGTGTGATAGTTTGGGCAGGGTCATTCGTTCCTGCAAGCATAGTTCGTTGGGTTATCGTGGTATACACTCGCCTAACTTTGTGTCAAGCAGCAGATATACGTTGGGGATCTTTACTTGTCGATTTATGTTATTTGCAGTAATCGACTGTTCATCCTCACTTTGTTTTCGTTTGTTATCAATGACTATGTTGAAAATATTTACATAAAACTATATACTACTGATTGGTTGTGACTAGTAGTTGTATGCCACTCATATCAATCAGCAGTGTTAGTTAACGAGATCGAATTGATGTAAACACAGACTTTGGTTTCACTTGTTTGTGACCGAGCTCTTCAGCAGTGTACCCAGTTTGATTCAACTCAGACAGATGAATCTAAGTTCAAACTAACTGAGTTCTGATTAGCTACTTGGGGCGGATTGGTTGGTAATGGCATGCGCTGGCATGTTAATCCTGTACCAGCTGGTGCAAGAATATTACAACGTTCTATGTCCTTTCTCCAATTTCAAATATCAGTCTCAGATCCAGACTCTCCTATCAGTCTACTCAGCAATAATATTAAATTGATGTAATGTTTATTTTAGATAAACGTATTCTTAGCAGTTAGTAGTACATACAAATATTTACCATGATGGTCTCATTTTTGTGTTTATAATGGTGGAATGGGTCATGCAACAGACTGTCGAGAGAGAAAAGGCTCTACAAGAGCTGGACTTCGTGGATGATAAATACCTAGTGTCACACAAACTCGAGGATATACAGGCGGAAACCAACGAATCGGTAGAAGTACAGAAAACAGGACTTCAGGGAGATGCGGAGAAGACAAGAATGCATACCCGACAGCAACAAGCACCAATCACTTTCGACGGAAGGAATAAGAAAAGGAGGTTACTTCTTTTACTTATCCAGGCAGTATCATCTCAACTACAGGCGGCATAGACAAGGATATCAAAGCCAACCAGAATTGAGAATCACTTTGGAAATCTACTGCACTCAGGAAAAAAAAATCCGGATCCACAGCACCAATATCAGATAAGTCCTTCGATATGGCACGACGAAAAGAAATTATTTCCAAGAGGTTTCGGACTTTTATCAACAGCTGTCTTCTCTGGCTCGAAATTGCCTATCAGATGACTGGTTGAATAAGAATAAGCAACAAAGGACTCTTACAGGGAGTCAATCAATCTATAGAAGAAAATGGAAATGGACTGAACACATTCTGTGAAAACCCTTGGATGACATCACAAGCTGAACAGGCTTTTGAAGTTGATGGTCCGAGGATGACATGGGGTGAAGTTTTGTGAAGATAAAATGAGAGCTTTCAGACAATCATAGAGCTAGCCTCAAAAGACTGTTTGGAACAGAGTGGAAGTCCCATGCCTAACCATCGCCTCCCCCCGCCGACGGGCATTACTAGCTGATATAGGTGCAGGTTGGAAAAGGGTAAGTGGTGGCCAAACAAAAACATGGCTTCATCAATCCATGAAATCCTTGACAGTTAAACTGAGTAAGGTAGGGAGATGCAGACTTCCGGGTTGGGGCCCTCGGGACTCCAGAATCAATGGCTGGAGACAATAGGTGACATGGCTCAAAATCGTTTTCAATGGCCAGCGAAGATGTATTCAGTCTCTTTAATCTTTCATATTCCTTTCTACCATTACCCATTCTGTTTCACTCTTATACTTGTCAGATTGTATTGATTCTCTTCACTCATCTTCTTGTCTACCTCTGTGTGCTATTTGGAAGGTGGCAACTCGAACTGGTGCACTTCGGTGCGAAGTTCTATGTTGAATCCAGATAGACAGAGACAGACAGAAGTCCCATGTTCCACTCAGAACCCAAATAATGATAATCTGCTTTATTCCAAAATCAGTACGTATAATACAGAATGGAATTCTCAGCATTTATCACACACACACACAATATTACATCTAATTTACTCAAAATATCAATAAAATTACCCCAGGAATTTGTCCACATTTACGGTAGGAATAAAGTGAAAAATGTACAAGGTACAAAATGCGAATAATACCTCTGATGATAACAATGACAGTGGGTTTGTTTCAAACAATATTTTCCATAGAGTATGGAAATTTTAGCATGTTATAGAGTTATGAATCCAATTTTCTCTTGATACAGCATGGTGAAGGAAAAACAAAAAATAAATGATGTTTACACTTATGAGAAAATAAACCGAAAAAATGAGAAGATTACAAATATAAGAAATACAATAATGATAAAGCTTGATGTTATCAAGGTGGAGGAAATGGTTTATTTAATAGTGCAAAGATTTTCATCACATAAAGTACGTGCCGTCAAATATGGTGTAGTGGAATTTTTATACTTAGATATGTACGTGCATAAAGTCTTCTAAAAAGACTTCTTGTTTTACCTGAGGAGACACAGGAGGAAATCTGCTGGCAAGTGGATGCTTACAGTCTGACAAAATTTATTTAGCAAATTTGTTGCTTGAAATCAAGCGTCTATCAATGACAATGTCAACGATATAGCCCAATGTAATATTTGAGATAGTGTCATCAAGAGAGTCTTCGTCGAACAAATCCCAACAAGTAAAAAAAATAATGATATCTCACTTTTATGACAATATCTCCTTTAAAGTGACGACAAATTATTGTGAGATGTATTGTTCGTTTACTAGGGTACGACCAACATCATGTTTCTATTATTTGGTGGTGGTACCAACTGAATTCTCTCCGTCAAGTTTGCAATGTGGTCATCAAGTCAGATGGGAATAATTGGAGGCAATTGGTGGGTAGCTCTGAATCTAGGTTTCATGCTTTTTGAAAGTCTTCAGTGTAGCGTGTATATAACAGTGAAGGACTAGTTTCACCACTCTGAGATTCAACTGCTTCAGTCCTTGGCGTTACCACTGAGCTATTCAGGCTGATGTCCTGTTGGACTGTAATGGATACTTTGGTTGGACACTCTGCAGTAACTAGTGTCATGAGTCCAGTACTTCTTTTGGTGCAGACTGAATACCATCAGTCACATTTGCAATGTGGTCAGCATAGTAGGTGGTGGCTTGCCATCAGACTACACTCTGAATTGTTGTTGTTCTATGGTTGGGAGGCAGTCGACAGTCAGTGAGATATATCTGGAACCTTAAGGGGACTTCTTATGCTACTTCAGAAACTCAAACTCTTATCGCCCAGTGATCCAATCAGACTTTACTACTGGGCTCTCCGGATTAGTAAAGTGAACTATGCCCTCCATACGTGTAGCATTCTGTAAACTGAATTTCCGGTCATTTTTTAAATAGAATACTTGAATGCTGCAAGAAATTATCCCGAATATTGTATAGATTATATGATTATATTATCATTCTAACACTAACGTGTGTTTGTTTTATCTTCCTTTTTAAGATATCACATCTTATCCTGGTGGAATAATGAACAGTGTAAATATTTGTGGCAGAAATAATATACTGATCAATCCATATTCAAATGGACCTATAAATAATTCAAATAATATACTAGTTTATCCTAATTATAATCAGCATTTATACGATACAGATTATTATTGTTATAGTAATAATAACAATAATAATATTATTACTAATAACAGTAATAATAGTTATTACATTGGTGGACCAACATCCTCTGAAATGTTGAAACTTTTAGAAAATTGTCAAATTGGCTTGTCATCGGCTGGTTCCAGTATGACAGCATTGTGTTCTGAGAGGTTAACTCCAGCGGAGTCAATGAATTCAATTATTGATCAGGCAAATTTGTGATATTATTTTTTTTTCTCGTCTCCTTCTCCTTCTCCTCCTCCTTGGTGTTCTTCTTCCTTCTTGTCATCACTCCCATGTTCATCATCATCGTCGTCATCAATATCATGATTATTACCGTCGTTATTATTATTATTATTGTGATTATTATTATCATAGGAATTGAATTTCTAAATTGCATAATACAATACATGTGTATAATATCAGACATTTTCATCCTTGTTTCTCCCTATTTATGATGTAGTGATGAATTTTTTAGATATACTCGTTTTACTTACTTACTTACTTACTTACCTACTTACTAACTACTATTTTGATTTATATGACTTGTCTTTTATCCATATCTAGTTGTCTGCTGATAATTGTTTTTCAAATAAATAATTCATCGAATTGATCTGTTCTTGCAACAGTCGCTGATCAACTTTCGTATAGCTTTATGATCTTTTTATGTATGTATGTATGTATGCGCATGTGTTTGCGACTCCTTTTCTAGAGCTTTTCACTACTTTTATTGCCGGTTAAGATGTGACATATAGAGCAGAAAAAAACTGTTATCTTTTCTCTACTTCATAATATTCTTGTTCTTTAACTTATTGAATATTCCTGATAACAAATTATAATAAGTGTTAGGTGACAATAAAAAGAGAGTATTTTCATTGTCCTGACTGATAGCTTCTGTCTTTATATGGGGGTTGGACATGCGTATCGTGGGTCCTATCATGCCAGAAAAGTCGTTTGGATAAATGGGGGGGTGGTGGTTTAGAAACCCTAAGAGCTGCATATTGAGAGTGTGGAGTGCCTAGAAACCATACATAACAGGGAACTCTGGTAACCAGGACCTACGGTCCAACAAATATCCCGGAGGTAATGGTGATTGACTGGACATACCGCTTGGAAGAGACTCTTGAAAGACATTGTACGCCAGACAAGTCCTACAGTGGGGACCCGAATAGGAAATGGCATGTTTGGCGTCCATGGATGATATGGAGATCGTGTGAAGAAGAGGTAGGCAATCGTGTAACCTAGTTTAAACGCACTGTAGAGAACAGGGAAAAAGTGGAGATGTGCTGTTGTAATCATATGTTCCACTCAACTCAAGGGAACAATAAATAATCGTCTTATTGTCCCGACTGATAGCTTCTGTCTTGACATGGTGGTAGTCAGACTTGCGCAAATCCTAGGAATTAATGTTTCTGTAGGACCTACCATGCTGTAAAGGTTTTGTGGTACCGCCTTTAGAATTGAAAGTGGAGAAGATTTGTGTTTTTAGTGTTTAAATATACTAAGAATAATACTTCTATGGCTTAGGTCGTTGGCAGTGACTACAGAACTAAGTGGGAATGATGAAAAAGGTGATATTTATTCCTTCCTGATTTTGCATAACTGCATAACTGAGGTTACAAATTCCTAAGACTAGAGTAGACACTTACAGATATCAAGATGTACAGTTACTGTGCTCAGCACTTTCTAAGCTTGAAGATGGCAACCTATTTGGTTGCTGCACCTCTATTCTCTGACAGTATAACTGTACGCCTATACACCAGCATAGTATAAGCAATATACGGTGTGATGGTGACTGCTTTTAGTCTAACTGACCTTCCTGGTGTGATAGTTTGGGCAGGGTCATTCGTTCCTGCAAGCATAGTTCGTTGGGTTATCGTGGTATACACTCGCCTAACTTTGTGTCAAGCAGCAGATATACGTTGGGGATCTTTACTTGTCGATTTATGTTATTTGCAGTAATCGACTGTTCATCCTCACTTTGTTTGTTTTCGTTTGTTATCAATGACTATGTTGAAAATATTTACATAAAACTATATACTACTGATTGGTTGTGACTAGTAGTTGTATGCCACTCATATCAATCAGCAGTGTTAGTTAACGAGATCGAATTGATGTAAACATAGACTTTGGTTTCACTTGTTTGGGACCGAGCTCTTCAGCAGTGTACCCAGTTTGATTCAACTCAGACAGATGAATCTAAGTTGAAACTAACTGAGTTCTGATTAGCTACTTGGGGTGAATTGGTTGGTAATGGCATGCACTGGCATGTTAATCCTGTACCAGCTGGTGTAAGAATATTACAACGTTCTACGTCCTTTCTCCAATTTCAAATATCAGTCTCAGATCCAGACTCTCCTAGTCAGTCTACTCAGCAATAATATTAAATTGATGTACTGTTTATTTTAGATAAACGTATTCTTAGCAGTTAGTAGTACATACAAATATTTACCATGACGGTGTCATTTTTGTGTTTATAATGGTGGAATGGGTCATGCAACAGACTGTCGAGAGAGAAAAGGCTCTAGAAGAGCTGGACTTCGTGGATGATAAATACCTAGTGTCACACAAACTCGAGGATATACAGGCGGAAACCAACGAATCGGTAGAAGTACAGAAAACAGGACTTCAGGGAGATGCGGAGAAGACAAGAATGCATACCCGACAGCAACAAGCACCAATCACTTTCGACGGAAGGAATAAGAAAAGGAGATTACTTCTTTTACTTATCCAGGCAGTATCATCTCAACTACAGGCGGCATAGACAAGGATATCAAAGCCAACCAGAATTGAGAATCACTTTGGAAATCTACTGCACTCAGGAAAAAAAAATCCGGATCCACAGCACCAATATCAGATAAGTCCTTCGATATGGCACGACGAAAAGAAATTTCCAAGAGGTTTCGGACTTTTATCAACAGCTGTCTTCTCTGGCTCGAAATTGCCTCTCAGATGACTGGTTGAATAAGAATAAGCAACAAAGGACTCTTACAGGGAGTCAATCAATCTATAGAAGAAAATGGAAATGGACTGAACACATTCTGTGAAAACCCTTGGATGACATCACAAGCTGAACAGGCTTTTGAAGTTGATGGTCCGAGGATGACATGGGGTGAAGTTTTGTGAAGATAAAATGAGAGCTTTCAGACAATCATAGAGCTAGCCTCAAAAGACTGTTTGGAACAGAGTGGAAGTCCCATGCCTAACCATCGCCTCCCCCCGCCGACGGGCATTACTAGCTGATATAGGTGCAGGTTGGAAAAGGGTAAGTGGTGGCCAAACAAAAACATGGCTTCATCAATCCATGAAATCCTTGACAGTTAAACTGAGTAAGGTAGGGAGATGCAGACTTCCGGGTTGGGGCCCTCGGGACTCCAAGAATCAATGGCTGGAGACAATAGGTGACATGGCTCAAAATCGTTTTCAACGGCCAGCGAAGATGTATTCAGTCTCTTTAATCTTTCATATTCCTTTCTACCATTACCCATTCTGTTTCACTCTTATACTTGTCAGATTGTATTGATTCTCTTCACTCATCTTCTTGTCTACCTCTGTGTGCTATTTGGAAGGTGGCAACTCGAACTGGTGCACTTCGGTGCGAAGTTCTATGTTGAATCCAGATAGACAGAGACAGACAGAAGTCCCATGTTCCACTCAGAACCCAAATAATGATAATCTGCTTTATTCCAAAATCAGTACGTATAATACAGAATGGAATTCTCAGCATTTATCACACACACACACAATATTACATCTAATTTACTCAAAATATCAATAAAATTACCCACAGGAATTTGTCCACATTTACGGTAGGAATAAAGTGAAAAATGTACAAGGTACAAAATGCGAATAATACCTCTGATGATAACAATGACAGTGGGTTTGTTTCAAACAATATTTTCCATAGAGTATGGAAATTTTAGCATGTTATAGAGTTATGAATCCAATTTTCTCTTGATACAGCATGGTGAAGGAAAAAACAAAAAATAAATGATGTTTACACTTATGAGAAAATAAACCGAAAAAATGAGAAGATTACAAATATAAGAAATACAATAATGATAAAGCTTGATGTTATCAAGGTGGAGGAAATGGTTTATTTAATAGTGCAAAGATTTTCATCACATAAAGTACGTGCCGTCAAATATGGTGTAGTGGAATTTTTATACTTAGATATGTACGTGCATAAAGTCTTCTAAAAAGACTTCTTGTTTTACCTGAGGAGACACAGGAGGAAATCTGCTGGCAAGTGGATGCTTACAGTCTGACAAAATTTATTTAGCAAATTTGTTGCTTGAAATCAAGCGTCTATCAATGACAATGTCAACGATATAGCCCAATGTAATATTTGATATAGTGTCATCAAGAGAGTCTTCGTCGAACAAATCCCAACAAGTAAAAAAAATAATGATATCTCACTTTTATGACAATATCTCCTTTAAAGTGACGACAAATTATTGTGAGATGTATTGTTCGTTTACTAGGGTACGACCAACATCATGTTTCTATTATTTGGTGGTGGTACCAACTGAATTCTCTCCGTCAAGTTTGCAATGTGGTCATCAAGTCAGATGGGAATAATTGGAGGCAATTGGTGGGTAGCTCTGAATCTAGGTTTCATGCTTTTTGAAAGTCTTCAGTGTAGCGTGTATATAACAGTGAAGGACTAGTTTCACCACTCTGAGATTCAACTGCTTCAGTCCTTGGCGTTACCACTGAGCTATTCAGGCTGATGTCCTGTTGGACTGTAATGGATACTTTGGTTGGACACTCTGCAGTAACTAGTGTCATGAGTCCAGTCCTTCTTTTGGTGCAGACTGAATACCATCAGTCACATTTGCAATGTGGTCACCATAGTAGGTGGTGGCTTGCCATCAGGCTACACTCTGAATTGTTGTTGTTCTATGGTTGGGAGGCAGTCGACAGTCAGTGAGATATATCTGGAACCTTAAGGGGACTTCTTATGCTACTTCAGAAACTCAAACTCTTATCGCCCAGTGATCCAATCAGACTTTACTACTGGGCTCTCCGGATTAGTAAAGTGAACTATGCCCTCCATACGTGTAGCATTCTGTAAACTGAATTTCCGGTCATTTTTTAAATAGAATACTTGAATGCTGCAAGAAATTATCCCGAATATTGTATAGATTATATGATTATGTTATCATTCTAACACTAACGTGTGTTTGTTTTATCTTCCTTTTTAAGATATCACATCTTATCCTGGTGGAATAATGAACAGTGTAAATGTTTGTGGCAGAAATAATATACTGATCAATCCATATTCAAATGGACCTATAAATAATTCAAATAATATACTAGTTTATCCTAATTATAATCAGCATTTATACGATACAGATTATTATTGTTATAGTAATAATAACAATAATAATATTATTACTAATAACAGTAATAATAGTTATTACATTGGTGGACCAACATCCTCTGAAATGTTGAAACTTTTAGAAAATTGTCAAATTGGCTTGTCATCGGCTGGTTCCAGTATGACAGCATTGTGTTCTGAGAGGTTAACTCCAGCGGAGTCAATGAATTCAATTATTGATCAGGCAAATTTGTGATATTATTTTTTTTTCTTGTCTCCTTCTCTTCTCCTCCTCCTTGGTGTTCTTCTTCCTTCTTGTCATCACTCCCATGTTCATCATCATCGTCGTCATTAGTATCATGATTATTACCGTCGTTATTATTATTATTGTGATTATTATTATCATAGGAATTGAATTTCTAAATTGCATAATACAATACATGTGTATAATATCAGACATTTTCATCCTTGTTTCTCCCTATTTATGATGTAGTGATGAATTTTTTAGATATACTCGTTTTTTACTTACTTACTTACTTACCTACTTACTAACTACTATTTTGATATATATGACTTGTCTTTTATCCATATCTAGTTGTCTGCTGATAATTGTTTTTCAAATAAATAATTCATCGAATTGATCTATTCTTGCAACAGTCGCTGATCAACTTTCGTATAGCTTTATGATCTTTTTATGTATGTATGTATGTATGCGCATGTGTTTGCGACTCCTTTTCTAAAGCTTTTCACTACTTTTATTGCCGGTTAAGATGTGACATATAGAGCAGAAAAAAAACTGTTATCTTTTCTCTACTTCATAATATTCTTGTTCTTTAACTTATTGAATATTCCTGATAACAAATTATAATAAATGTTAGGTGACAATAAAAAGAGAGTGTTTTCATTGTCCTGACTGATAGCTTCCGTCTTTATATGGGGGTTGGACATGCGTATCGTGGGTCCTATCATGCCAGAAAAGTCGTTTGGATAAATGGGGGGGGGTGGTTTAGAAACCCTAAGAGCTGCATATTGAGAGTGTGGAGTGCCTAGAAACCATACATAACAGGGAACTCTGGTAACCAGGACCTACGGTCCAACAAATATCCCGGAGGTAATGGTGATTGACTGGACATACCGCTTGGGAGAGACTCTTGAAAGACATTGTACGCCAGACAAGTCCTAGAGTGGGGACCCGAATAGGAAATGGCATGTTTGGCGTCCATGGATGATATGGAGATCGTGTGAAGAAGAGGTAGGCAATCGTGTAGCCTAGTTTAAACGCACTGTAGAGAACAGGGAAAAAGTGGAGATGTGCTGTTGTAATCATATGTTTCACTCAACTCAAGGGAACAATAAATAATCGTCTTATTGTCCCGACTGATAGCTTCTGTCTTGACATGGTGGTAGTCAGACTTGCGCAAATCCTAGGAATTAATGTTTCTGTAGGACCTACCATGCTGTAAAGGTTTTGTGGACAGCGGTAACGCTAAAATCAGTTACCGTCATAGTGTAAGTCGTTTATATCATGTCGGGGATCTATGGGTAAATTCGTTGTAGGATTAAATTTGCCCAGTATCAGTACTGACGATACAGAGTCTATAGTTAAAATTCAGGTAAACTTTATCTTTTTCTAAAATACATAGGAGATAATACAATTACACAAAAGTAACAATATAAAAGCAAATATCCTTCAAGGAAGGACAAAGATATACCGAACAGTACTGATGTGTGGAACTAAATGGTTAGTGTATTACAGTTACATATATATAAAAAGACAGATACAACACTCATCCAAGGTCAATCTCAAGTGGTCTGCGTCTACATTATAGTAACCAACAATCACTAGAGACAAGGTCAGGACGTATAGATTGGTGGACTGTCATGAAGTCTGTCTGTCATGATTAACAATCTCGTTACTGGAGAATAGGGATGTAATAGCAGTAAGGTGTTCCCCTTAGATGACCAGCATACCAACTATGCCACCTTTCTCTTCTGGGATGGGGGGGTAAGTAAGGTCTATCCCGAAAACTGTACTTCCTGACTTGCTAAGATACTTTAAGACGGATGCAATTCCGAAAATCACCTCAGAGAGTCCGTATGTGACCGGCCTCAAGAAATTTCCACTTGGGCTCTGCAGTCCCGCAACACTAATGTGTGAGGACTAATGATACTATCTGGCTGTAGCCGTTCCACACTTGGTCGAGTGAAATTCTAACCAGTAATCTAGTGATTTGAAGTTACCACTTGGACCGCTAATCACTGCTCAACATGGTTTAAGTGAATATGATAAAATAATTTAAAGTAGAGCAGCCAATAATTTTTGTCATTTAATTTTGTCTTTATGGATGACAGTTGGATTTCTTCCTGTTTCTACGTAATCTCAACTATGATATAAACTGCGGGAAATTCATCTGTTGTATATTCGTGTTACATTATCTCATTGTTGGAAAGGATTTATGAATTTCTAGTTCTCCGAGTTACCGTTAGCGATAATAATTTACATTATTATTTCCTTCAGTCCCATGTGGGACACAGGGATTTAGCATTTCACTGTGATCTCTTAAATCTTTCTAACTTGCCTTTATAACTGCACATAAGCTTTCATTTCCTCAAATAGTTCTCTCCATTTCACCCTCTGATCCATGCCAAAAACTTGTCGTTTCCCTTTGGGGTTCCAGTTGAGAGCCTGGCACTTGATGTCACTCAACGCTCATCTCAGGGTAGGTTTAACCCATTTCCAGTACCTTCTGCACATCTGTTGGGTGATAGATACTTAGTTGGTTCGTTACTAGAGTTCCTTGTTGCTTATTATTTCTGGCCATCTGATCTTCAGTATCAAGCCAGCGAAAGCAGTTGTTGATGAAAATCGGCAGTAATCTATTAGAAATGCTTTTCATGACGCACCAAGTCTCTACATCTTTCAGAATCATTGATTGCACATTAGTGTTGAAAATTTGAATTTTGGTGCCGCCCTATGCTGAGTATAGCAGTTAAGTGATTCGGATTGATGATTTTTGTTGCTTGTTAGGTGTTTCCATCACCTCTACCTGATTTTCACTTAAAGTTATGCCTTTACTGCCAACTTGTTGGTTTTCGCGTGTAGATATTCGGGTCTGTGGGAAAAAGGAAATCCGTGTACTTCGTCTTGTCAGTCCAACTCATCCCCACCATCTTAGTCTCCACATTTAGCCCGATGATCTAGTCTAGCACAATCATAGATTATTGTAGGCAACCTTGTCCTAATTCTGTCTTCGTTTCAAACGCTTCACTGAGTTTTTATTCTTGAATTACCTGGCATGTATCATCAACATGTATCTGTTAAATGCGGTTAACAAAAGTCTGTCGTAGTTTCAAAGTAGTTTTCAGATTACTTCATGGTTGACAATGTTGTGATAGAAAGTTAATTGCCATCCTGTGCTCTGTTCGATGACGATGCGTAGCGTTGTGATTTGATTCTCACATGATTTACTTTTCTTAAAACCAACTCGTTCCGCGTGGAGTTTTGTATCCAGAGTCTCTTTTAGTCTCTTTAGGATAACGCAGCTTGGCGTTGACAGCAGTATGATTCTGCACCAGTTCAATTGTAATAAATGCTAATCACTTTTTAGTTCAATTCTTTATAAGATTAAAACTGAAGACATTATCACAGGGCTTCACCTTATATCATGTAACTAGGTTTTGTCAGCATTTTAGACTTCTATCCACTCTTAATCTTAAAAGACTGATGTAATATGTTTTTAATACATTGGTTCTCTTCAGTCTATCTATGATTCTAGTTCATGTTTGTAAATATATAGTATACAATATTATAAGTTAATTGAAAATATGCTACTTATATTCCAACCTAAAATGGAGGACTTTCTTATTTGATCACAGATTGATGTCAGCTAGAGGACCTTTGTAACCAGAGAGTACAGGATAGCTGGCTCGTTCTAGTTTGGGACTCTTCAAGAGTATGCATCGTGCGACTTTCCAGTCTCATCAAATACAGACTAAAGCTAAAATTGTATAAATTGAAAACGCCTACGTCATCAAACAGCATTCTTTGAGCTGAAATCAGTTAGAGAACCATTGGGAAACCTGCAGGGAATACTGGACAGTTGTTTCGTCCTAGTTTGGGACTCTTCATCATTAAGCACCCATCACCAGGGTTCGAACCCAGGACCTTCTGGTTACCAGGCCACCGAGGTCGTAGACCATTAAGCCCCTGGGACCCGATCCAATATTCAGTCCATGAATTCCAACTTCTGCCAATAATTCAAGATATAGCGTGACCACTAGCCAATGTCATGGGTGGCGAGTATTTGTCCTCACACCCAACCTAATCTACCCCACTCACTAATCATGACTTCTGTCTAGAACCCCAGGTAACTACCTGCCTGAATAGGACCAGTCGCTATTGAATAAGTTACCAACTAGGACAAAACAGCTGTCCAGTACCCTCTACATTCACAACTCTCCCCATGTATCTCTTCAGGGAAAACAAGAAGCCTATATAGGAAACTATATGCCCGCACTAGTAAGTACAAAAACTCAACCATACCCTACCTAGCCCGTGTTCTGTGCGATAAAGAATGCATCAGGCATGAAACCTTTAACTTATTAAATAGTCAGTAGAACCAATGGATCTCGTCTTTCCAACTCACATCATTTATAGGTACAACGTTTTCTCGCTCTTCATTCTGTATTTATTTTTGTTATGTGCTGTTTTGTTTCTCTCTTCCTTGCAAACTCTACTTAAAACATTCTTGTTCGTTCTTTCACACTCTGTGTATCACGAACCCAGGACCTTCTGGTTACAAGGCGGCCTCGCAGGCTGAAATCATTGTGGAAATGTGCTACAATCAGCATAAAGAAATAGATTCATATACTCAACACTAATTTGAAATCATTGATTCTTTGTGGTTCAGAGAATTGGTACGTCACGAAAAGCATTTCCGACACGTTGCAGAATTTTGTCAACAGATGCCTTTGCTGCATAGTGAATATCAAATGTCCAGATATGATAAGCAACACGGAACTCTGTCAATGAATCAACTAAGAAGCCTTCATCTAACAAATATGCCAGAGGAAATGTAGATTGATTGAAAGTATGCTGTTGAACGAAATCGCACATCCGGACAACCCTAGAGTTGAGTCCGAT